GTATATGATTTCACACACTTCCAAAAAGCAATTTGTAATGCTTTGCCTTTGTTTTTCTTCCTGAAATTGCAGTATTTATGCCTAGCACAAAATCTGTGCTCAGCATAAGGGAAAATCTCCTTAACTGCTTGAATAAGTCCCTGTTAAATTGATACAAGTTAGCACAAATGATTAACTTATTTAAATTGGAAAAAATATATAATGAAAAGCAAAATGACACCTTTTGTTGGTCTAACATAATGCAGAATTTTGTTCCATCTCCCATTAGCAAATCCTTTTGTAATTCTTCAAAAAACCATAACCATGTTTCCGTTTTTTCAACCTTGACAACTGCCCATGCGATTGGAAACATTTGGTTGTTTGCATCTCTTCCAATTGCAGTCAACAATTCTCCTTTGTGAGCACCTTTAAGAAAGGCACCATCAACACCAATGATATGCTTGCAGCCAGCAAGAAACCCTTTCTTCAAAGCACTAAAACATACATACATTCTCATAAAAGTGGGGTTAACATCCGCTGTGGGCTATGAGCATGGAGAACAATGTTTGCTTCTGGATCTTTTGACCTCAGTTCATTAGCATAGTCAAAAAGCATGCCATATTTAGCCTTGGAAGCACCTTCAAAAGTCCTTTTCAACTGCTGCTTTGTTTTCTTACATTGCACTGAAGTAGCTCAATATTCTTCTCATTCCAAATAGCTTGAAAGATGCTATCATAATTCATATACAAACAACTTGCTCCTCTGGAATTAACTAAATGCTTAGCTGCATGGCATGATGTATATCTCTTGTTCACAACACCCCAATTGCATGTATGCTCTTGTTGGAAAGTTTTTACCATCCAAGAGTCTAATGGGCTGTCCTTTGCCAACAAAATCTTCCATATGCACCCTTTTTTCTTAGCTTCCTAGCATATTGCCCTGAACTTGACCTTGTCATTTTTCACCCATTTAATTTGTCTACCTTCTTTAAAACTCAACTCATCAATAGCTCTTTTAAACTGTTCCTTGCTAATAAAAATCATCCCAAGACCTATCACAAGCCAATCTTCATGTTCCTTGAATACCAGATGTATAGCCTTTCTTCTTCTACCATGTTCAACTTCACTGTCATCCTCATCACTTGTTGTAATATAGCTAACATCATCATCTAATTGGATTGCTCCATCATCAATTTTTGCTACTGTATCAATATGCCCTGTACAAATAAACCAAAATAAATTAGACACAATAGATATTAAAGGCGATAAATAATAAATTACAAGAAGAAATAGACAAACCTGCACCAATAGCAATACTAGAAGATCCCACTTCCATGATAGATTCTGATTGCTCATTCTCAGTTCTGGGTTTACCTTGAGAAGCTATGAAGTTTCTCAAAATTGTCCTAGCTTCAATAGTCTCCTCATCTTCATTATCCAACAAATTAGGGACATCTAGCACTAGTTTTACCATACCACTGTCTACAGTGACAATATTTAAGTCTTCAATTCCAACTTCATTGTGGACCCCACCAGCATCTCCATCATCGTTAAATATTTCATTTTCTTCTTCTTCATTGCTCCAACTTCCACCAACCTCATTTACTACTTCATCTACATTATTCGAATGCCCAGTAACCTTTGTAAGAAAAAAAAAATAATAACATAATAGAATAAAGGTAACATCAATATTCAATTAAATAATGCAAGAATTTAAGCATATAGAAACAAATAAGTGGGACCAAATGTTGTCTCCACATTTCCACACAAACCCGACAATTCCAACCTCTATTCCACATCATATTGACATAAAAAAGCCAAACAAAAGTTACATTATTCAAAAGATTCGCATAATCAAAAGGTAGAACATACCTGATCCTTGATTTCCTCCTCTTCATGATCTCTGATTTTTGGTCCCTCATGGTTCTTTTCTCCACTTTTGGAGGACGGGTCCATGTATACAATCTGATCTAATTATAAAAGGTGATAAATTCTATCAAAAATTGTAGAGCTTTTAGGGTTTTGTTCCTGCAAAAGTGAGAACTTTCCCCTTCTTTTCTTTTTTCAATGTAAAGTTCCCCACTGGTTTATTCAGAAGGTGGAAGAGGCGGGAGAGGCGGGAATCAAACATGGATTGAAAATGATGCTATATCATCAATTGGCTGAGTTGGTTTTTCCACGTAGGCATGAAAAAAATAAAAGTGGTAATTGTTGGACACTTAATGTGCCAAGTATGTAGTCTATCAACGGAAGGATCATTTGAGTTACAGAAAAATGAAGTTAAAGGACCACTTGGGTGCATTCTAAAGTTAAAGGACGAACTAAGTTTTGAAATGAAAGTTTGGGGACCAAATTGGGTATTAAACCTTTTTGAAAGTTGTGATTTTCCTTTAAATCTTTCTTAAAGAAGAAAGTAAGTGGTGATTCTTCTGAATACTGCACATCTCCATCAAAATATGGATAATTC